GGGGGTGACCAAGGTTCCAGATGAGGAGAACTCAAATCCCCTTTCCAGCACACTTGGGCTTCAAGACCTGACGCCAACCTGAGTTTGCAGGCAGCTGGGGCCTTCTAGGGCTTTCTGAGCCCTCAGCCCTCTGCCAGGCCTCAGGAAGGGGCAGCTGGGCTCCTCAGAGAACAGAGGCCCTAGACGTGGCTCCCGTGGGGCTGTGGGCACAGAGGCCGTGAGGGGTGACAGTGCCAGGACCTGCTCGGGGCTTTGTTTTTCTTAATAGAATAATCGTAATACAACCAAGTATCTTTTTCAGGAGTTAGCAACTATCACCTTTCCCTATTTCCCTATTTTCTGTAGGACGTTCACACTATCAGGAGAGGGGTGATTTCCAAAGCATTTGGGGTTCTTGGGTTTAATCCTACACCTCCTGTCCAATCCCTTTTGCATCATTGCCTGTGAGGGTGGCTGTGTTTGTCCAATTATTTGGGGAGACGAGACTGGGACAGTCGGAGGGGGGTGCGGTACCAGCAGGAACGCAGGGGACAGGGAGGCCTGAGTCCTCTCCTGCGTCTGCTTCTCTGGGCTGGGTGACCCTTATGGAGCTGCCTGTCCCTCTGCATCCCTGGGAGAGTGACTGGGGAGAGCAGACTCTGTGCGGGGGGTGGGGGGGTCCCCCGACCAAGGAGTACAGTTCCTGGAGGAGTCTAGAAGTGGGCGATGTGATAGCTGAGCTATAAAATGGATTTCTGCAGAAAGGCTGGGACCTCAGCCTCTCTCCATGTCCCCTCCAGGCTGTGGGGTCCCGGCCATTCCCCCAGTTGTGGGTGGCATACAGAGGATTGTCAATGGGAAACTCACAATTCCTGGCTCCTGGCCCTGGCAGGTGTCTTTGCAGGTGAGGGGAGTCTGCACAGTGTGGGGAGACCTGCAGTCAGGTAAGGGGAGGGGCTTGGCTGGGGTGTGGCTTGACCTGCCAGCACTGACTCCCCTTCTTCCTCCAGGACAGCAGCGGCTCCCACTTCTGTGGGGGCTCCCTGATCAACGAGTCCTGGGTGGTCACTGCTGCCCACTGTAATGTCAGGTGAGGCCCAGACAGGTTTAAAAGTGGAGGTGGGGGTGTGGGGGGCATCCTCTTTCCTCACCCCACCTGCCTCCTCTAGCACATACCACACAGTTGTTGCTGGAATTTTTAAATTGTCAACAAAAAAGAAGAAGAATCTCCAGGTGCTGAGGATTGCTCAGGTATGCCAGGCTGCGGTTGGGCAGGGGGTGAGAGAGACGGGGGCCGCAGATGGGCTCAGATTCTCCCTGGGGCTCCCCTGATCTGTCCTCTATCGGCACCAGGAAGGCACTTGTCTCCTGACACCTGCAGATCCCTGATGGACCCCAGGCCTCACACCACCCCCACCTCACCACAGGTGTTTGAGAACCCCAGTTTTAACTTCACTACCAGAAACTATGATATTGCCCTGCTGAAACTGGCCACGTCCGCCCGCTTCTCCAAGGTCGTGTCCCCTGTGTGCCTGCCCAGGGCTCAGGACAACTTCACTGCCGGGTCTGTCTGTGTCACCACGGGCTGGGGAAAGAATGATATCCAGGGTGAGTGACCTCGGCTTTGTCACCCAGAAGGTGGGTCTGGTTGACCTGTGCAGCAGGCAGGGCCCATACAACTCTGCTTCTTTATTTTATGGGGAAAAACAGTGCCATACCTGTTTCTGCAGTTACACGGTCAAGCCCCTGAAAACCTGCCGTAATAACGCATACACCAGTCCATGATGGCTGTGGATAGTCAGGTTCTGTAGATACAGCACTGCCCCCCTGCACCTGTTCACAGTGACAGAAGCTGCTTGGAAGCTCCCCAGGCTGTAGGGATTAGGTTGGGTCTCCTTCCAGTCCTGGGTGGGGTTCAGTATTCAGATCCAGGGTGTGGCCAGGGCCATGAGTGTCCAGCCTTGTGTCCACTCCCTGTTGCTGCCCTGCCTGATGGTCTCTTCCAGTGCCCTGCCTCGCTCTGCCCAGGCCAGGCTACCTGGCTGCTCCTTCCCCAGAACTGTTCACCAGCAGAACTGTTCACCAGCTGTGCTTGAGCAAATTTGGCACCTCCTAGAATGAAATCAGAAGAGGGGTACCCCGAGGCTTCTAAGGAGTATGGGGGTACAGGGCTTGTGTTCCAGCACCCAAAATAGTGATGAAAGAGGGAACCAGGGAGGGCTACATCCTTGGGTCTTGTCCTCTCCTCCCAGGGTGGGCAGGCGGCTGAGGGTTCTCACCCGTCCTGACCTCTCTGTTGTCCAGGCAAGGCCTCCAACACGCTGCAGCAGGCCACCCTGCCCCTCCTGTCCAATGCCGAGTGCATGAAGTCCTGGGGCGACAACATCTCTGATCTCATGGTCTGTGCAGGGAGCAACCGAGTCGCATTTTGTGAGGTACGGCCTGCTCTGCGCTGCCCCCTGGTGGTCTGTCTTGCCATAGGCTGGGGCAGCCACTTCTGGTCCCCTGGTTCACCTGCCCTCCCCCTGCGCCCTGTCCAGAGAAGCCAGGACCAGCTCCAGCTGATGTCACAGTGGGGGGCGCCAGCCTGACTTGAGGCGCTTCCCAGCAGGGTTTTCTTTCATTGGGACCCCCGTGCTGTATGTTCCCAGCCCTTTTTGCAGTTGATCCCCACACGCCTCTGGCACAGGTGGTGGGGCTGGTCTGCCACTTGCTCAGATGGAAGTTTCCAGCACTCCACCCCTGTTCCTAATTGTCCCTTGGGTACCTCTTTGACTAGTCAGATGGGCACACAAAATGATCCTCCCACCCCTTGCAAACATGCAGACAAGTCCTTCTTCTCCCATAGGGTGACTCTGGCAGCCCCCTGGTCTGCCAGAAGGATGGAGCTTGGACCCTGGTGGGTGTCGTGTCCTGGGGAAATGAGACCTGCTCCACCTCCATGCCCGGTGTGTCTACCCGTGTCACCAAGGTCATGCCCTGGATTGAGGAGACCGTGGCCAACAACTGAGACTTGATGCTCCCACCTCAACCCCAGTGTCCCCAATAAAGCCCCTGCACAGAGCCCTGACTGCTTGTCTGTGACTGGGGAGGTGGCTGCAGTGCCCCTGTCCCCCACCAGGGGGCGGCGTGCCCCTCCCTTTCCAGCTCAGAGCCCAGAGCCCCTGTTTGTCAGGAGCTGAGGCCTTTGGGTCTGGTTCTCCCTGCTCAGGGGACCCCGGGGGAGAGTCCAGGACACCTGCTGCAGCTTTGTTTCTCAGCCTAAATTGACAGATGGGCTTTGCCACAGGAGGTCTGTGGAAGGCAGGAGTACTCCAGGCCAGGCCATGAGTCCTCCCAGCAAGGTGGGCCTGGGACCAAGAGGCCCCCCAGGCTGGCTCATCCCTCCCCACCTTCTCCAGGCACCTCTCTCTGCCTTGGGCCTCCTGCAACCCCTCCCCCGACTCTCCATGCAGTCCCCACCTTTCTGTCCTTGGGGCCCTAGGTGCTAGTCTATACTGGAGCCAGGGAAGCCCCACCCAGCCCACAGAATGGCACCCCTGGCCTTCCAGGCCCCTCCGTGGTCTGCTTTCCTGGGCTCAGCAACAGAGTGGAGAACTGAGCTCTCAGGTCTCACCTCAGTCAGGCTGCGGGGGCGGGGCTGGTTTCTCTCTGCAGAGAAACAACATTGAGCCCTGAGAGTGGGACATTAATCTTCACGTTTGGGTAATACTTTTATTTCTCATTCTCTGCTACATGTCAAGCAAAGGCTCATAGGTCTATGTCATTTATAACCACTCGTGGATGTTCTTTTTAGACATGTCAAGTACCTGGCCCTCTTCTCATTCATCAGTTATCTTTCTGTTGAGACTGGGCAGCACCGGCCCTCAGCTCACAGGCCCCTCTGGAAAGGCCACAGCTGAGGAGCATCCCCTTGCCAGGACCCCGCCCACCCCGGGCGGCCTCACCCCGGATTGGTCAGTGGTTCAGGGCCCATCAGCTCACCAAACTGAGCCTGGTGCCCAGGGCCTGCCTGCGCCCCTCTCCCCTCAGCACAGGGAGCCAGGCGCGCTCCCATGCCCCCACCGGGACTGTGCCAGGAACCGGCACAGTGGGGTTCAGGAGCTGCACCCCCGCTGGTAATGAGGGCCCTTTGTGGGGGAAGGGGAGGCACCATCACAAGGTCACGCGAGGTGGGGAGATCTCACCTGAGGACAGGTGGCATCTGGTCAGCAGAGACTTCATTAGTGGGTCCACAGCCTGAGAACTGTGAGGGAGAGCACCTCAAGAATGATAAAATGGGGGTGTGGGTAAGCACCGCGAAGGCCTTGGAAACCAAAAACAAATATTTGGAGTGATTCTTAGGTAATGAAAAACAGGTGTGTAATGGAATACTATTCAGTGATCATAAAAGATAAACTCATGCCATTTGTGGCAACATGCATGGAGCTGGATGAGATAATGCTAAGTGAATAAATCAGAAGGAAAAAAAGTAAAACAAACAAACAAAAAAAACAGAACCCACCTGGAAACAGACAGGGGGAATTGAGGCAGGTGGCCTGGGCCACAGAACAGCCCACCTGGAATTCCAAATCTCCCCAGACACAGTTCTGGGCTCTAGGTCAGGGCCTGGCCAGGGTGGGGACACTGGCTGCAGCTGCACTGACCAGGGTGTGACAGGGATACTCCAGCCCTCGTTTGTCCTATGTGTGGGGGTGGGGGTGCCCACTGGGGTGTGATATGAGTCCCTAGGTGATGTCTGAAAATTTTTTTCTTACAGAATCTTGTGCAAGCTGCATTTTCCTGTTCCTATATACAATGTTTTAATATATTTAATGGTTAGTCACTTAACAACAAAATGTTGGGGACCAGCCTCAACTTGGGTTCGGTGTCCTGAAAAGGGCAGAGAAAGCATCGGCACTGAAGTTCTGTAAAAGAGAAAATGAGAGACAGCACACTCCAAAGCTTGGGGAAACTGCTCTGTTTATTGCCCGGACAGCAGGGGTTAGTATATGGTAAAAAAAAAAAATGGCATTATTGTTCGATACCTATGACGTCTACATATTTTGATCACAAAAGATACAAAGAGAACACTATAAAGCATTACATGATTGATTATACTTTTTGGAAAAGAAGGCGAAATACTTATTATAGTAAGTACTAGTTTATAATTAACTGCGTCCCAGAAAGCCCTGCTGATTATCAATAGGAAAGTCTCTATAGAAAGCAATTGTTTGTTACTTCAGAAACATCGAGTTACTATTACTAAAATTTAACGAAGGCTAACTATTTTCTCATGGGAAAGTCATTATAGTCTTGGCTCACTAAGCAATGAATTCTTGTGGTCTAGCAATCAAATAGTTACATGTTTCGAATCTTTTAGCAAAACAGGAGTGAAGACAATGCACCTGTTCACCGAGAAGAGAACATCCTTGAAGTCAGCTTCACCCATTCTTTGCGACCAGGTCCGTGACCAGATCAGGCGATCTCGGGGCAACTAGAAACAACAACAAGATACAGTTATAGCACTATACTGTAATGAAAGTTGTGAATATGGTCTCTATATCTCAAATATCTAATCATAGGCAACAACTTCAGGCCTTAGACAACTGAATTCTCCAAAATAGAAGCTAAGATGGGGGTCCTGTACCTCTCAAGCTGCCTGGGGACCAGCCAGCGGGTGCCCCTGACCAGTGTCTAGGCCTGGAGGCCAGGCTGACGGGGGCAGGATGGGACAAGAGGACACAGCACTGAGGATTCTGGGCCTGGTTGGCTTCTGGGAACAGTGAAAGCCCCACTGGTCTCCCCCACAGGAGGCCTCATGTCTTCCGGATGAGCAGGCCCTGTGTGAGGCAGGAGACCCCATGTGGACATGGCTATTAGCAAATGGGGTGGGGTTGTCTTGGGGCCTGATAGCCCTGGGGCAAAACAGAGGCTCCTCTCAGGGATCCTACGAGGAGAGGCCAGAGACCAAAAGCATCAATGGCTCAGAAATAAGCCTGGCATTCTGTGCCCCAAAATTAGTGTCAGGCACCCTTGGCCTCAGGCTCAGTTCACACACCTGGCTTCTCCCACGAGACCCCGCCTGTAATTGAGAATCTCACTCCCGCCCTTGGGGGCGCAGTCAGCCCTCAGGCTCAGCAGTGGTGCCTGGCAGGAGCTGGTCCCCTCAGCGTCCCACAGAGCAGAGCCTGGCCCCGGGCAGGGGTGCTCAAGCTGGGGTCCTCCACCCCTGAAGAAACAGCAGCTTCTAGCCAGGTAAATTATCCCCCTCACCCTGCACCTACTCACACACCATGAAAGCGAGGCCCAGCACGGTTTGAAAGCAGCTTCTGGGCGGTTCTGATGCAGCTCAGGTAAGAGCCCAGGAGCTGGAGTGAGACTGCAGTGGCCTCTCCAGGGGGC